GGGTTCCTGCCCTGAGTTCCTACCTTGGGCTCCCTGATGAACTGCGACCTGGGAGATGTAAGACAAATAAACCATTTCCTCCCCAAGTTGGTACTGGTCAGAGTGTTTTGTCACAGCAACGAAGAACAAACTAAGACACCCTCCTTGCTGAACTATTGACTACCAATAGATTCTAGGATAGGAGGAGTCACTGTCTTCAGCTGCATACCCACTGCTGAGCCCACCAGGCTCCAATAGACAGCTCCAAACCCATGATCACACAGATGGTCCTGGTTAAACTCAGTGGGTCACAAAACAAAAAGACATGAATGTGGGAAAGAGATGTGTAGGGCTGAGTGGAGCATGATTGATAGAGGTAGGAAGGAGATAAGAAAGGGTAGGGGCTAGGGCATTAAGAGTTGTCAGTAGGCAGTATATACATGTATGAAATCATCAAAGAACAAGCTTAGTTAATAAAAAAAAAATATTCCCAAGTGATTCTAATGTATAGTCATGACTAAATTTCATCACCTTGGTAAGATTACCTGAGGATATTCTGTACTGAAACAAAAATTAAGTTCTGTGTTCCATTGAGCCTAAGGATAAGGTCACCCCCTGTGCCTGCTGGGATTTGCGTATGCAGGTTCCGAACACAAAATACCAAGCTTGTTTCTCAAAACAATACAAGAGGAAGATGCTCATAAAATCCCCACTTCACAGATCAAAAGACTGAGCCATGGAAATATCACATTGCTCCCATGGTCACTTTGCCAGCAGCTCCATATGGAGAGTCATCTAGGGTAGTTCAGAAACTCTGGGCAATCAGTCTCTTTTTATCTAAACAGGACTAACTCCTTCACTCATTAGAAACTCAACTTTCTTAGATGACTTTTGAAAATGTCAAGGTCAAGTTCCCCAGGTCTCTCATTAACCTGTTTACCCTTGTGCTTAATCTGTTGGTCACAGATCAGACATTTATCCATGCTGTCATCTAAAACTGACCTATAGTTCTTTTTAAAAATGTCCCTTAAACTTTGTCAGAATGCACCACAGTGTCCATTCATAGACCAAGAAACCTGTCTACGAGTGCGTCCGTTTCAAGGCCAAGAGTGTGTTCGCAGGCCTGGAGAAGCGGCTCAGTGGTTAAGAGCACTGGCTGCTCTTGCAGAGCACCTGGGTTTAATTCCCATGGCAGTTAACTACCATCCTTAATTCCAGTTCCAGAGGATCCAATGCCCTCTTCTGATTTCCATGGGCATTGCTCACACAGGTACATTTACATACATGCAGGCAAAACATTCATACGCATAAAGTAAAAATAATTTTTTTTTAAAAAAAAAGAGGATGTTCACACCTGCAAGCAATGTTTGCTTGGTTTTGTTTGTTTACAATATGAGAACACTTCCTGAGGGGACACTGAATAATATGCCTTAAAATGGCTTCTAGAATCAGGGGAAGTAAGCCTTCTATGTCTTATCTCAGACTAATTTCTATAGCATCATGAATGACTTTATGTAGGAATTTATAAATAAGGTCTGTTAAAAAGTCAGCATTTACATGCTAACACAATAGACAGATTTTTTTAACAAAGATATTGCCAAGCTTGGAGGCACACACCTTTAAGCCTGGCACTCAAGAGGCAGAGACAAGGGGATCTCTGTAAGATTGAGGCCAGCCTGGTCTACATAGAGTTCCAGGTTAGCTGGGGCTACAAGAAGAACTTGTCTCAAAAAACCAAAACACAAAAAAAGATAAATATATTAAAACGTGACTCCAATAGAGGGAGCAACGAAGCCATCATCGGGCATCTCACCATAGGTGGTGCCTGGATTTCTTTCTCTTGCTGGTGTTTCTTGACCATTTTCTTCAGAGTCATATTTGTTATTTTCATAATTTTCAACTACTTCTTGTTGAGTTAGAGCTGTCATCATGCCTTTTCTCTCTTCTTCTAGAAAAAGGTCTGCTGCTTCGAGTGCTTCTGAGTCATAAGCAGAGGCAGATGACCCAAACTGGTGCTTGGACAACCTGCAGGAAAGCAATCCTTGTCACATGGCATGACTAGGGCTTGCCTAGCATGTCCAAGGTCCTGGGTTCAATCACCACAAAAGATGCCCCCAGGACCATATCCCATGACCAAACCATGCAAACTAAGAGGTTCTGCTCTTGGTTGATATTGCTGCTATGGGTTTGGGTGCGTTCTGAGGATTTATTACTGTGCAGCTGTTCCCTCTGGTGGCAGGGGTGATTGGACAAGGACTAACATCATTTACTTCTGAGACCTGAGGTTGGAGGATGGATGATACAGTGAGATGACTTTTTTTTATTGTTTGCTTTTATGTACCCATGTGGTCTTTGATTTTTTTATACATTGGTTCTATATACTTTTTTACTTTTAACATTAAAACAAAATCAGCCAAAAAAATAAAGTCAGAAAGTCCAAGTACAATGGCATATGCTTTTAATCCCAGCACTCGAGAGGCAGAGGCAGGTAGATCTCTATGAGAATGAGGCCCGTTTGGTCTACATGGTGCGTTCCAGGCCTGCTGGGGCTACAGGGAGACCCTGTCTCAAAAAGACCAAGAAAATAAAAACAACACAAAATCAGAAAAGAGAGCCAGGCCTGGTGGCATACACCTGCACCCCAAATCACTAGAGACTGAGGCAAAAGGACCATATGTTCAAGGCTTCCTAGGCTACATGTTGAGACCCTGTCTCAAAAGATTACAAAAGAAACACTAAGTCACATCAGAGCTGTCACACCCAAGATTGTCCCAAGCACCAGTAGTTTGGGTCAAGTCAAGAACTGGAATGGCATGTAACTTTTATTTAGGGTGACAGTGTCCTGCCTAGGTCAACCCAAGCCTACCTCTTGATAGGTGTGACTAATTGTAGCAAGGTGTCCCCACGGTTTGGACCGCCACATTCTTCAGTGAGCTCTGGGGGTGGATACTGGTTTATTCCACCTGAAAGTTAAAAAAAAAATTAAAGTCAAACATAAAATCATATAAATAATAACACAATCAAGGATGAGAGAATACATGTCAGTGGAGTGCTCAGCCACAAATGGTACATCTAGATCACACATACCCCCAAGGCTCAGAGATTATCATGAAGAGATAGAAAGATTTAAGAGTCAAAGGTCAGGGAGGACTGGATTAAACAGCATCTTCTATATGTGACAGGACTGCTGCACACCTGAACTCACAGCAGCTGTGGCTGCCTGCACAAGACCTGCACCAGATCAAGCTAGTCAACATTCCAGCATGGAGGGGGAGGGGTTCATGAGCCTCTCCCCCTAACTGAGGAGCTATTGACAGCTAATGGTTTCTGGGGGAGGGAGAGTCTGTTTTCTTTAAGGGTGTGGCTCCTAGTAGGTAGACCTTGATCCAGTGAATGGCCCTACATTCCGGCGTATTATGGGCTGAGTACAAAGTGAGCTCAAGTTATTAAAAAAAGAGAGAGAGAGGACACAAAGCTGGAGGTGGGGATGGATCTGAGAAGTGTTAGGAAAAGAGTGAAGGCAAATATGATCAAAATACAGTGCATGAAATTCTCAAAGATGTCATAGACTTCATAAAATATCATATTAAAAATAATAAAATTGAACATAAAAACAAAAACAAAAAGCTACTAAAATTACTACCAAATACTATATCAAATTCAAGTCATAAAATCAAATAAAGCAAAATAAAATTAATGTGAAAATAAAAGCAAATTGAATGCTAACAAAAATAAGCCCATAAAGATGTAAAAATCAAAAGGTCATAAAACAGAGATGAACAAAATATAAAATAAATATATAAGTTCAAATAAAACTAAATAAAATAACATCAAAAGCAAGCGAAATAAAGACATAAAATGCATTGTTATATAGATAATATAATATCCCAACATAAAAGATATAACAAAATTTAAAATACAGTCTACTAAAATAGAAAAATAAAGTAAAACAAAATTAAACAGATAAGAAAAGTGATTTTTTTAGCCTGTTACTCCCTCAAAAAATCATTAAGTTATAATGTAAGCCATCTCTACAATCCCCTGCGAAGATCAAAAATTTAAGGTTCAAAGGTTTTGTGGCTTTCCTAGGATCTCATAGTTCACAAATAGTAGAGCCAGGACTAGAACTAATTCGCTGATACTTATACCTATCAAAAGGAGAGGCACAAACGTCCTGTCAGTATGTCTAAGATGTCCATGAGACTCCCTTCATCCTCAAGGCCCCAATGGGATGTCACATCCACTGTGTCTCCCAGGACAGAAGGTGAGGCCTCACACATGCCTCACAGTGCACCTGAACATGGCCAGGTTAATACTCTCCTATGCCTACATCTCCACTATCATGTGAAGGATACAACTTGGCCCTGGGTGGTCATGAATTGAGTACAGCTGGATCTGATAGGAGGTGAGGCTGCTAGACAGCGAGGTGGGAAAGAATTCCAGCCATGATGCACTGGCACAGCCCTTGCCCCTTAATCTTCACTGTTAGCTTAATCTACCCAGCTTGAAGAAGGGAGACCCAGGGATTTTGACCTATCACTCCCACTTTAAAATACTGCATGTTTTCCTCTCAGATACAGAACTGTGTGGGTGTGTGTGGGTATGTGTGGGTGTGTGTGGTGTTTATAAGTGTGGGAGGGGTCATGGAACTAGGAAAGAGATCATAAGATGGGTAGAAAAGATCTTAAGAAAGAATGGGAAGAGAGGGTAGTGTAATATATGTAACACGGAAGCAGGAACCAGTCTATCTAGGGGAAGGAAGTAAACCAGGGGAGGAAGCAGGGGCCACAGGAGAGGGCACCTGGGAAGGGGTCTAAGAAGAATGAAGTATGACACATGTATAAAAATGCCATAAAGAGGGGCTGGAGAGATGGCTCAGAGGTTAAGAACACTGACTGCTCTTGCAGAAGACCCGGGTTCAATTCCCAGCACCCACATGGCACTCTGAAGATAGAGTCAGAGGGATCAGAAGTTCAAGATCATCTTTGACTAGATAGTGAATTTGAGGCCAAGCTGAGATTAAAATATTTTTTAATTTAAAAAAATAAAAAATAAAAATAAAATATTTTTAAAGTTTGAAAAAAAGAAAAAGAAAATGCCATAAAGAAACACATTACTTTATATGCTAACTTAGCAAGAAAAGAAAAATATATGAACGTTATATACTCTTGTTACTTAAAATGTGGTCCATGGAGCCTGTAATCCCAGGACTTGGAAAAGTGAGACAGGAGGATTGTGCTGAGTTCAAGGCCAGCCTGGACTACATAGGCAGACCCTGTCTCTAAAGACAAAAACTGTGGCCATGCACCAGCAGCACATCTGAACCCACATCTGAACAAGGTCCCTGAGGTGTGAAGGTTAAAATCTGAGAGGCACGGCCACCTGCCATGGGAAAGCAGCAGTGATGAGCAGGAGGAACAGTAAGCATACCTGTGTTAGACAGCAGCGGGGCTTCAGAGCCCCTCTCGGGCAGCTACTCCATAAATAGGAAACACTGTAATTCTCATTTCAGGAGCAGACCACAATTCTCTCGTTGGTAACAGAAAACTGAGCAGCAGTGTAGAAGGCCTAAGGCCTCCCCACCACTAGATGAGGACGGCAGGACAGATGCCTGCATCTAGAGATTGTATCTCAAAAAACTATAAAATATGGGGCTGGAGGGATGGCTCAGCAGTAAAGAGCACTGGCTGCTCTTGAACAGAACTTGGTTTAATTGCCAGCATGCACGTAGTGGCTAACAACCGCCTCTAACTCCAGTTCCAGGGGAATCTGACACTGTCTCCTGTCCTCCGTGGCACTGTACGACATGAGTGCACTTTCATGTATGCAGGCAGTACACTCATACACATAAAAATAATAAAATATTTTTTAAAACTGCAAAATACAGGTGATGATGGCCCCACACCCATGTACAAACAGACAGCACTAAATGAACTCAGTGGAAAGGAGTAAAGGAGGAGAAAGAGAAGAAAGGAGAGGAGGAAGAGGAGGAGAAGGAGATTGAGGAGGAGAAAGAGGAGAAATGGGGGAGGAGGAGGAGATTAAGTTGGGAGAAGGATGGGGGATTGATTCTGGGAAGAACTGAAAGGGGAGAGTGGGGTATAAATATGATGATCTAAATACATTATATTCATGTGTGAAATTACCAAAGTCTATATATTAAAAAATCAAACTGACAAATAAAACAGTAACAAGCATTGGAAATTAAAAGCAAAGCTGTTTTCAAAAAGAAAAAAGCACTAAGTTCCCGCATCCCACCACACCTAGGGTAGCTCACTTTTTAGGATGCTCAGGAAGGCATGTGTGAATCGGCGAGCATAGGCTACCTCTGCCTCCGAGATGTCCTCTAGGCGTAGCAGGTGCTGCTCCAAGGGCACACTGGCCACGTGGGACAGCTCGGCCAGCTCCTGGGCCCGCACGCCTGGGCCCACGGCCAGGACGAACAGGGTGATGCCCTTGCACTTGGCCCCCTGGGACAGAGTCCTTAGCTTCTCCCTGTCCCAGCTGCTTGTCTCACTGCCCACAATGATGAAGAGCACCCGTGCCCCTCGAGGCAGAGGGGCGGCCAGAAGCACTTTCTCCAGGGACCACTCCAGGGCGTGGCCCAGGGCAGAGGCTCCCTGCAGCAGGTGCCCCGCAGCCTCTCGGACCTGCCTCTGCATCTGTGTCCTGTGGACGTGGGAGGTCAGGTGGAAGTACTCAAGGACGGGAGCTCGACCCACACCAGGCCAGAAGCCCGGAGGCGTATGTGTCAGCAGGGCAGCGCGCGCCCCGCGGCGGGATGCACTGGGCAGAGCAGCCACCTCCAGATCGTCCAGCACCGCATCCACGAGACGCAGAGCCCCGTGGTAAGTGTCAGCGCTGACCCCCTGCGAGCTGTCCACCAGGAACACCAAGTCCGCGTCCACCGCCTGGGGTCTGGAAGCATCCGGCCGGCATTCTGGGGCTGGTCGGCACTTGTCTATCAACGAAGCACAGGGAGAGGTCCGGATTAAACCAGGCATCCTTCTCTGCAAAATACACTTCCAGCCTCATTAACCGCACTGTCCTGAGTGCTGTTTGCCAAGCATTGGATTGACACGGGCCTGGGCGCTGTGTAAGTACAGGTGCCCATTTTAGTCATCAGTCATGATGTTTGGGAAACTACACACGTTGACTGCTAGAGTGACAGAGACCTTAAGGACAAGATGAGGCTGACATTTTATGTTTGCTTTTTTAAAAAGCAAATATTGGGCCAGGCATGGTGGCGCACACCTTTAATCCCAGTGATAGGGAGGCAGAGGCAAGAAGATCTTTGTGAGTTCAAGGCCAGCCTGGTCTGTATAGAAAGTTCCAGGGCAGCTGGAGCTGCAGGGAGAACCTGTCTCAAAAAGACAAAAAAAAAAAAAAAAAAAAAAAAAAAGCAAATATTGATAATTTTTAAATGACGGCTTAATCTTCAGGGTTCCTAAACTCATTCAGCATTACAAGCATACAGAATATTTCTTTTGTCAATGTAGATTTTCTTTTGTTTTATTTATTATTTTTATTTTATGTGTATGTATTGCCTGCATGTAGGTAAGTGCACCCATGTCGTGCAATGCCCGCGGAGGTCAGAAGGGGCTGTTGGATCCCCTGGGACTGGAGTTATGGATAGTTGTTAGCTGCCATGTGGGTGCTGGGATTCCAACCTGGGTCTTCTGCAAGAACAACCAGTGTTCTTAACCTCTGAGCCATCTCTCCAGCCCCCAGATTTTCTTTTTTTAATGTGGATTCTGGTTTGCTGGGTTACAGCTCAGAATCTGATGCTGAAATGTCAGGTATTCTGAGGAACAAAGTTTTAGGAACCTACCAATGGGCCCTACCTACTCTTCCATTTAGAATGGGTGCTTGGCCAGGCATGGTGGAGCACGCCTTTTATCCCAGCACTCGGGAGGCAGAGGCAGGTGGATCTCTGTGAGTTCAAGGCCAGCCTGGTCTGCATAGTGAGTTCCAGGACAGCTGGGGCTACAGGGAGACCCTGTCTCAAAAAGACCAATAAATAAATAAATACATACATACATACATACATACATACATACATAGAATGGGTGCTTGGCAGGTGTTCTTGACCTTGGGCCATAGTTGCCCAGGGGATCTATAAACTAGGAGGGGGAAACTGGCATCTTTATTTTCACTGCCTCTATTGAAATAAAATTTCCTTTAAGTATTCATAAACGCAACAAACCATTATAATGCCAGTGATCATATTATAGTTGAGGCATCATATTACATATACTTATTGTTACCTTGAAATAATGGTTATTAGACTTCTGCCAACGGTTGCGAATATTCTAACAAAAAACACATACTGAATGGATTGACAAGTGTATTTAGAGGCACAATGGAATACTATTCAGCTACTAAAAAGTAGGAAATTCAGTTGCTTATGACAACATGGGTGAACCAAGAGGACATTGTGCTAAGTGAAACGAGTGAAGCACAGAAAAGCAAATTCCAAACAATCTCACTGTTACAGAGCGTTGTCCTCAGAGCATAACAGCCATCATCTTCACCAGAGCGGTTTGTCTACTTGCAACAGACCCTCAAGATGGGGCCTGGTGACTACTGGCATTCCCCCATAGAAAAGGGTGGGGAAGGTCATTGAAGTCCTATCTTAGATTCCAGCCACTCCCCCCACACCTCCCAGCCAGCTGGATGTGATTCTGCCCTCACTGCACATGGCCTCTTAGTCTTGGGATGTGCTATTGTTTATAGAAGGTGGGAGGTTAACTGAAGGGAAGGCCCCATCTATGTACCTTCAGGGAAGTCATCATCCTTGTTGGGGTGAAACCTTTAGGTGGGTAGGTTACTTTGGGGTCGCTCAAAGTAACCCCTCACTTAAGCTCTGAAAATAAGCTCAATAAACATATTGGTTCCCAAGTTGGACTTTGGTGGTGTTATACTTTGATTTGTCATTGATGCCCTGCCTGGAAGAGTGGGTATTTGTTTCTGTCTCCCTAGTAGAGAGCTCACACAAAATCCACTTCTATGTGAAATCTAAAAATGAACGTGATTTCCTGGTTCAATCCAGGTTCATCTCTTACTCGGCTTCTGACCTTAGGGAAATGAACTTGTTTCCCCAGAGCATCTATTTCTGTCAGAGATATGATGAAGATCACGATAGTACCTACCTTATGGGGTTCGCTGTGTTTACATGAAAAATGAGTTAACAGGACTGTGCTTAAGAAGATGTACTGCTCTTACAGATGACCAAGGTTTGGTTCCCAGCACCCACATTGAGTGGCTCACAACTACTGGTAACTCCGGCTCCAGGGGATCGGACATCCTCATGGGATCTTGCATACATATGGTGCACATAAACTCACACACATACACAGACATATTTATTTTTATTTAATGTGTACGGTTGTGAATCCAGCTGCTCAACTGTGACACATTCTACACAGGGCAGTTACTACATCTGACTCATCAAGTAATCACAGACATATTACTCATGGCAGTGCTAGGTCTTTGTGGATAAAGTGAAGGGGACAATGAAATCCCCTTTGGAGTTCACCCGCTCAGACCTGAGCAAGGGGACATGGATGGGAACTTCCTCACATGCGGACATACATAGTCTTCTGCAAGAAGTTTTCTCTCATACAAGCTAGTGAGCAATGTGGGATACAGTGGTGGAGGTCAGGGACCAAGAGAGAATGGATCTCACAATTGACCAAAAGTAGACCCATTGTCTGGGTTGCCTCATTCAGGATGATTGTTTACAGTTCCATAAATTTATCTGTGAATTTCATAATTTCATTTTTCTTAAATGAAATTTTCATTATTCCATTGTGTGACTATACATATTTTCATTATTCACTCATCTGTTGGTGGACATCTGGGTTGTTTCCATTTCCTGGCTACTCTGAATAGAGCATCAATGAACATGGATGAGCAGGTATTTCTGTAATGGGATTCAGAGTCCTTTGGGTATCTGCCCAACAGTGGTATAGCTGGATCTTATAGTAAATCTATTTCTAGCTTTTTGAGGAACCTCCACACTGATTTCCATAGTGGCTGTACCAGTTTTGACTCTCACTAGCAGTGAATAAACGTTTTCCTTTCTTTGAAAAAAAAAAAAAAGGTAGACCCATTATCTAGCACCCAGGACTCGACTCTTAATTCTATGGCCTGCTCATCTCATTAAGGTGCTATTAAAAGACAACACTCAACCCCAGCCACCTTGGCAGAAGGTAAATGAACAAAGTGTATCCGGGGTAACTTGAAGGGGAAGAGGAGGGACTGTGGGACACTAGTAGTCACCCATCCCATCAGAGGGAATCAGACTCCCTGCTGCCTGTGGTCACCTAAGGAATGCAGGGTTTGTGCCTCTCAAGACAATTCTGACTTCCTAAGAAACTGAAAACTCCAGATTTAGTGGGAAACTCCATGATTCTACAACCCTGCACACACCAAGCTAAGGCACATCTCCAAAGCAAATCTGGCCTCTGGCCAGCAGTTTATTCATCCATTCTAAGGGCATTAGTCTGATCAGAAACACTCTCCTGGCTTACCATAGCAAAGCGTGCAGCGAGCCAGGTGCTCCACATCCTGCTGGTGCTCAGTCTCCCATGTAAACAAGTGAAATCTGTTGAGTCCGTCCATCTAATCCAAACATGCACAGTTCATGATCAGCTGGGTTAAATTCTACCTCATGGTCTTTTTTTTTTCTAATTCAGATGGAAAAACATTATTGCAATTTTTAAAGACTATATAATCACATAAATACATATAAATAATTTGGCATTATATAACAGTTATTTATAGTCACTTAGTACTGTAGTTCTAACATGGAAGTTGGACTATCAGTATGGTAGTTATATGACCTAGAGAATGTTCAGATTCCCAGAACACCTGAAACTCAGCCAGTGTCATGCTGTGTCAGAATAGGGTAAAAACATGAGTATCAATCATTTGTAAATTCCATCCATCTCTACTAACTGTCCGCAGTACCCAGGACACATACTGCATTTCAAGGAGGTGGCCATGTACCATTGGAATGGAAAGAAGTGGACAATGTGAGGGAGGAGTCTGTAGAATATTCCTGGTGTTCAAAGCAGGGACATACTCCAGTTAGTGGGTATGAGTGAAGAGGAGACAAAGAAGCCTTGGAGAGATGAAAAGTGTGTTTATCTCTTTCACTTACCTTTCTGATGGTAATTAAATAACCAATTAACAGCAAAGATTAAAAGAAAAATATTAGTAATAATAACAACTCCATGGGACATCTTGGTAACTGGGTCAACAAAGTCATTCCTTCTTCCTAGAGGCACAGATCAACTACATTGCCAGGCTTGCAGCTACTTCCTACATATGACTGGGGTTTAGCCAGTAGGTGAAAGTGATGTATGCCATTCCAGTGCATGCATTATACTCTCTTGCTCCTTCAACCCTCATCTACCAGCCAGATTTAGAGGATGGAGAAGAAAAGCTTTTGAGGCCCTGGAGTATAATGAGACCACAGATGCTAAAAGCCTAGGTCCTGAACTGGTTGCATGCAGTAAAACTCATATCCAAGCACGTAGGATGGAGCCCTGCTGTGCATTCACCTTCATGAACATGGCCAGAAAGTCTCTAAGCATGACTCTAGGTAACAAAGTACTCAGGACATGAAGATGTCACACTAGTTCACAGGAAGGCAGACAGTGAAGAGTTACTTTGGAAGAAAGCGTCCTGCGATATATATTCTTTATATAGCATCTTGTTTTCTACCTGGTGTTCCCACAGACCCTGAACACTGACTTTCAAAGCAAGCTTACTTGGAGGAAACATCTCAATGAGAAAAGAATACCAAGCCTTGAACATTTATTTAAATTAGTGTAGCACATACACACACACATACTGTAAGTGTCCTAGTTTGTTCTTCATTGCTGTGACAAAACACTCTGACCACTACCAACTTGGGGAGGAAAGGGTTTATTTAGCTTACATATCCCAGATCACAGTTCATCTGGGAGCCCAAGGTAGGAACTCAGGGCAGGAACCTGGAAGCAGGAACTGGAGCACAGGGCATGGAGGAACACTGCTGACTGGCTTGCTCCCCTGACCCCTGCTCAGCCTGCTTTCTTATGCAACACAGGCCCACCTGCCCAGGGGTGGCACCACCCACAGTGGGCTGGGTCCTCCCACATCACTCATCAAGAAGATGCCCTTCAGACATGGCCACAGGTCAGTCCAATAGAGACAATTCCCCAACTGAGGCTCCCTCAACCCAGGTGTGTCAAGTTGACACTAAAGCTATCCAGCATAATAAGCAGGACTATTCTCCTAGAGAAGAAAGGCAAAAAACATTCTCTCTCATTCCCTGTAGAGCAAAAGCAACATTCGGTTGCTTTTTTCCTGGCTTAAGAATTGTAATGAACCCAGGCTGATTCGGCAGCCTGGTCCTAGGTTACTGTCTTCTGTGTCAGCTTCTGAGCAGGACAATATAAGATGTCTTCCACTCTGGGCAGCCTCCCAGCCTATGACTCTTTCCTGTATTACTCAGTTCACTGGAAAGCTATCGAATCCAACCAAATTCAATGAGATACACAACTTTCTTTTTTTAAGTTTTTCTTAGGAACAATTATTTTATGGTCATACTTAACATCTGTACTGTTCTTGTAAAACACTTGTGATGACAAAGACCAAAAGTACAATGGAAATCCACAGAGAAACTGTGATTCAGTACAGCTATGTCTGTACCAGGTTTTATTAATGAGCATTTAATGACTTGGGCTTTGGACTTGTCAGCACAGTCATTGTTGATGATAAGATGGACAGAAATGTTTCCTCTGAAAGCTCAAGCTAAGAAAGCATGTGGGAGGGGATTTCAGTGGGAAGACAGGAGTGCACTGACCCTGATTCCTACTGAGAACTCCATCCACATCAGAGAAGGGAATAAAAGTTAGAATACTTCAGACACAAACTAAGAGATCTGCGCAAGGCTCAAAGCTCCACTACTATTTGAATCGGCACATTTAACATTCTTTCAAGTTCCTTCACAAATGTCCAGGCTCATTTGCAACAATACAGAAGGGAGACGCAGCCCAACACAGCCAACAGCAACCTCAGAGACCTCTACTCAGGATAAGTGAGATTCTAGACTATGCCACAGAAAAGAACTTCAAGAAAGACAAGTCAAAGTGAAGCAAAACAAAGGTAGTGAGTTTATTAAACATTCAGACTTACAGGAAAAGGGGAAACAGTCCCAAGGCAGTTAACAGAGAGAGAGAGAGAGAGAGAGAGAGAGAGAGAGAGAGAGAGAGAGAGAGGCCTAGGTGTCTTTCTCCTGTGTGGAGCTTTCTATATTCCTCAAAGGATATAATTTATAGGGTTTAAAGTTTAGGCAAAATCATCCTTTCTCAGACTTTTGGCTATGACCAAGTATAAACATTATGCCAAGCATAAAATTTAAGTAAAGTTTAGAAGTTAAGTAAAAATGTATCAGCTGGTATACTTGTTTTTCCTAAAGATTTCCTTCTGTAGGCTGGGAGATGAGTCAGTCATAAAGGACCTGGTTCTAATCCCTAGAACCCACATAAAGAAGCTGGGCATGGTGATGCACGCTTACAATCCCAGCACTGGGGAGGCAAAGACAAGCAGGTCCCTGGGGCTCACCAGCCATCCAGCTGAGCCTACTTGGCAAGTTCCAAGCCAGTGAGAGACCATGCCTCAAAAGAAAAGGTACACAGCAACTAAGGAACAAGAGCTGATGTTGCCCTCTGGCCTCGACATGCCTGCTCATCCTCACACACAAACATGCACACACACACACACACACACACACACACACACACACAATTTCCTTTTGTAAATGAAATTGTAAGGTAGTTTTATGAAGTGTACTTTTTGTTTTTGTTTTTGTTTGAGGCAGGGTCTCTCTGTAGCCCCAGCTGGCCTGGAACTTGATAGATATACCAGGCTGGCCTCAATCTCTCAGAGATCTGCCTGCCTCTACCTCTGCCTCCTGAGCACTGGGATTAAAGGTGTGCACCACCATGTCAGCCCATGAAGCAAGTCCCTTATTTAGAGATAAGGGACTGGGAAGATGGCTCTGTAGGTAAGAGTGCTTGCTATACAAGCACAAGGACCTGAGTTCAAATCCCCAACTCACATGTAAAAAGTTGATGATAGCTAAGCATACTCCTGTAATCCTAGAGCCTGTGAGAGAGCAGAGACCAGTGTCTCACTGGGGCTTTCTGGTCACCACCCTAGCTCCAGGTTCAGTGAGAGACTGTGTCTCCAGGAAATAAGGCAGAGAGTGATAGAGCAGGACATCTGACCTCTTCCTCTGGCACACATACACACACATACACAGAGACATATACCACACACACACACACACACACACACACACACACACCCATACATATATACACATGTAAAAAATGGTAAAATTCAAAGCTATAAACATTCTGGCCTTAAGCAAGCACAGTTTTTAAACATCCTTGGCTGATGTGTCTTTAGGAACCCATACATCATCTCTACAGGCACATTCAACTTTATCAGTTGTATTGAAGTTTCCTGATTCACAATCAGCAAGAAAGGCAAACTAGATCCAACGGTGAGGGGCCCCTTTCCCTCCTGTCTTCCTGCCTCAACTGTATACTGAAGACAAGGAGAGACTGCAGCCCACAGGTTTGCACTAACATCCTTTCCTGATTAATAGACAGAATGACAGTTTCTGAAAGAACATAAGAGCCATACACAGGAATAAAAATGGGGCTAGTTCATAGGCACATTTTACTATAAAATGAAATGTGTTAAAACAGAGAGAGAAAAGACTTAGAACTTGTAAAGTCTCTTTCCCTGGTCTCCCCTACCCTGTATTTGACTTCTGAATTCAAAACCTCAGGGCTCACAAACGCTCCAGTCCATGAACAATCATTTAACTGCTCTGTGTCTCAGTTTCATTATCTGAATAGGCTCGTAATATTACTTATCTCATTGGGTTCTGAGGAGTAAATGAATCAATAAAAGTTTAGAATGGCAGCTGGACCAATAAACATTAGCTATTTTCCTAGGCATTGTTTCAAGGAAATATGTGCTAGGCTTTTTAGAAAAAAAAATGAAATTTGAAACCTGGCACACAAGTCGCATTTTCTAACACTCCACTTCTTCACTTTAAAAAATTGATCTGCTGGGCGTGGTGGCGCACGCCTTTAATCCCAGCACTCGGGAGGCAGAGGCAGGCAGATCTCTGTGAGTCAAGGCCAGCCTGGTCTCCACAGCGAATCTAGGTCAGCTAGGGCTACAGGGAGACCCTGTCTCAAAAAAGAAGACAAAAAAAAATCATCTAATGAAGGCTTGTGTTTTGAGGCAGAAGACAGTTCTTAATGATGGGATTAGGCATGAGAGAGTCCAAATGCTGTAATGCAGTTTTATTTAGGGCTAAGACAATTCCACAGATAGCTTTGAAAAATGTTTTCAGTGAGCATCGCTGCCTCCAAGCATGTTTAAATGGACTGAGAAGTTAGGGCATCTGTTTATACAATTGTTTCAAATTGTACTACCAGCATTTCCCCAGAAGAAGCATGTGGGTGTTGTTCTAAAAATTAAAATAACGTAGAGGTGAAAGACAAGCCTGACACAGAGAGAGCCTTTGGGTGATGAATTCAGAAGCTAAACCATAAGAAAATCCCACTGACTTCCCAGTTCCCCTCATGTAAGGCACAGAGGAGAGCTGGGTAAGGCTGCAATTGCCCACTCACTCATGAAGAACAGGGGCTTTCTGCAAGGCCATGAAAATGGGGTTCCATTGTACAGTTTCTCTCCTTGCCAATGTCACCAGCAATAGTGTCATTTGTTATATCTGAGCTGGCAAACATCATTTAACATCCTTCCTAAATGGTTAAATTTTCAAAATGCTGAATTGTCTCCTAGCTCCCTGGGGTGAGAACATGTCCAAGAAATGGAAAGGAGAGCAGTTAGAAATGACAGGGCAGAGATTCGAGCATACTCGAGCTGGCATCTTCTCCTCATATACCAATGCATCCTTGTACTCTGAACCCAGCAACTAGGAGGGCCAGAAGGCAATGGCAAAGGACAAGTGTATAAATCAGAACCAAATGCCGACTGCCCAACAGCCAGTCAGAGAGCAGCACCACAGGCATCACTTTCTAAACGTTAGGGGCAGGCCTTCCTGAGAAATAGATGTGTTGATAATTGTGTATAGAAGGAAGCCTAGATAACATTACATTGCAACCTGCTTTGTGTGGTTTTTGTGGTTTGATTTGGCCTGGTTTAGTTTTTTGAGACTGGGTCTCACTTAGATCGGGCAGACCTTGAACTCAATATGTAGTCAAGAATGACCTTGAATCTTTTTTTTTTTAAGATTTTTACTTTTTTAAAAAATTTATTATTTTTATGTGTATGAGCGTATTGTCTGCCTGTATGTGAACCCATGTCATGTCTGCATGTCATGTATGAGCGTATTGTCTGTACGTATGTAAGTGAATCCATGTCACGCAAGTAGAGGTCAGGAGAGGGTGTCAGATTCCCTTGAAACTGGAGTTGCAGACAGTCGTTAGCCACCATATGGGTGCTGAGAATTGAACCTAGGTCCTCTGTAAGAGCAGAAAGTGCCTTTAACCACTGAGCCATCTTTCCAGCCCTGCTCTTGAATTTCTGATCTCTCTCCCTCTCAAGGGCTAGAATTATAAGCATGCTATACCAGCCCTGATTTATGTGGTGCTAGGGACTGAACCCAGGGCTTCATGCATGCTAGGCAAGTACTCTACCAACTGAGCTATATCCTCAGCTCCCACTCTTTCAATCTCTGAGCCAAGGAAAATGAGACCCAGTCAGGGGAAGACCTCATCCATAAACACCTCGTTATTTATGAAAGAACAAAAAGACATTGCAACTCTAATTTAAGTGGCACTTTGTTTATATATCTTGCCTTTATTAAGCCCCCCGCCCCCAAGCCTGCCCCTCTTCAGATATGCTACTAGGCAAGAGGGATACAGGAGTGAACAGGAATTCACTCTGCATTTTCTCTTTGTTTCTCAACCCAAGATATGTGGCCTATCTTTTCTGATAGTTTGCAAGCTGTCACAGGCTTATTTATTGATTCTTAGACACATATTCACAGCTGTGTCAATAAAATTTCTCACCTACCATTTCTGCTGCACAACTTGATCTTAGGGGAAAATTAAGTGGTCTGGCACAGCTGAATCCATTAACTATTAAGTTGAACCAGATGACACTTCCATTTTTTTCAGGTCAAAAATGGTCAAATATTGGTGGTGTCACATGGCTCAGTCTAGCATTCATGTGGTAGGGGGAAAATCACCCTTCATTTTGACAAATCATCCCAGATACTCTACAGCATGTACTGCGTGGGTATCAGTTAGAAAAAACTTTAGAGAACTGAGAAGTGACTGGCTCTTGGTATCCACACAGGCTGAAGCACCGCACTGAAATAATAGAACAAATCACCCATATGCACATGGGTATGCAAGGAGCCCAGACACATTGACCGAAAGAAGTCAGATTCAAAAGGCTAGAAGGCTGTGATTCCATTTATATGAAGATTCAGAACAAACAAAAGCTATGGGGTTGTGATAAAAGTCAGAAGAGGAGCTACCCTGGGATGTATGTACGGCTCGGTAAAGGACAGGAAGAAAATTTATAGACTGCTGAAAATGTTCTGTATCTTAAACTGCATCTTGGGCACAGAGGAGTAAACACACATAAAAACCCATCTAGGGTTGGGGAGATGGCTCAGTCAATAAAGTGCTTTTGCCATGCAAACATAAAGACCTAAGTTCAAATCCCCAGCAGCTAGGTTTAAAAAGGAGACAGAGCTGGGCATGGTGGCGCACGCCTTTAATTACAGCACTAGGGAGGCAGAGGCAGGCGGATCTCTGTGTGTTCAAGGCCAGCCTGGTCCACATAGTGAGTTCCAGGACAGCTGGGGCTACATGGAGACCCTGTCTCAAAAAGACCAAAAAAAAAAAAAAAAAAAAAGGAGAGAGAGAGGTAGCACATACCTATAATCCTATAATCCTAGCACTGGGGAGATAGAGAGACCCCAGGCTTGCCAGCAAGCCAGCCTAGCCTACTCAGTGAGCTCCAGAGCAATGACAGACCCTATCTCAAAACACAAGGTGGTCGGCTCCTGAGGAACGACAGCCAAGGATGATCTCTGGCCCTCACAGGTGCCTGCACACTCACTCACACATGTGCGCCCACACATACATACACATACACATGCAGCACACTCCCTTCATGTGTGTGTTTAAAATTCACTGCACTTTTTCCATTTTGCTAGGTGGGAACATAAGGTCATATCCCAGTAAAAGGAAGGAAGAAGAAGGGGAGGATCAGGGGGAGGAGGAGAAGAGGAGGACAAGAAGGAGTTATGGTCTATAACCTGTCATATAGTTTAGCATAGTGTTATACACAAGCTTGACCGCAGATAGCTGTGTGCCACTAAGCAGTTATTTGACCTTCAAGAATATACTTACCCTCTCTAAGCCCCAGTGTTCTAATCCCTAAACTGAAGAGAATCAATAAGGCCTAACCTGTAGAGCTTTGGGGATATTAAATGGTAATATCTGTGAAGCCCATAGCATGGAACACATGCAGTTTCTGGAGAATTCTTCCCCTAAACCACACTCACAGCCCACGCAGGCTCTGGTGGTGGGATAAGAACCAGATGTCAACCCCAGCACCCTTTCCCCATCTGTCCTTCCCAGCACCCCACATACCAGCAGGGCTTCCGGGAGGCTGTGGTCCTCTGTGAAGGTGACGACAGCAGTGATGATGTCTGCTGCGTGGAGCTCCAGCATGGCTGTGCTGACAGAGGCCAGGTCATAGTTCCTACCCACCTGGAAGAACACAGCCACCTTCTGAGCCAGGAGGCCACGGCGCACGCGCTTGAACACATGTCTTGCCACAAACTTCATGGTTGCCCCGAGGTTGCGGAGCCCAGAGGACCGTTCCAGGGGGATTTTCCTGACAGCCTGCAGAAGGGCAAGCTTCCCCTTGTGGTCTGAGAAGCGCACCAGATGATCTGTTCTCGTGTTGTAGGCTACGATGGCCACTCGGGCACCCGTAGGGCAGTTACTATCGCTTATTTCCATCTTCATCAACAAAGATAATAAAATATTTCTCATCCTCTCAAAATCCAACTGGGAGACATCATTTGACATGTCCAAGGCAAAGACCACTTCAGTCGGGAATGCTGGGCATCTGGAAATTCCTTGAGACAAGAACACACAGATTTGAGAGACTCTGTACTGCCTCCAGACAGGCCAGGGCTTAAGCAAAAAAGGAATGATACAAAAGGCCACAAACGGCCGACACGTAGAGAATAAGAGTCAGCAGAGTGTGGGTCCTTGGACAGGTCTCCTATATTGAGGCCCACCCAGGCAGGGCTCAGGGACCATTGTGGAAGAGGGGGCTGAAAGGTTGTAAGAGCCGGGGGGGGGGTGCATGACCATACGGAAATAGTCCTACAGGTGCCAGGGACCCTTCACATACAAACCTACAGCAATGGTGTCAGCATGCACAAGACCCATGCAAACAGGCAGACAAAAACCAAGCACAGAACTATAGAAATGAACAGCAAGCCCCAATCTTAGTCAAAGAATTATTGGCAGCTGATTACTGCTGAGTGAGAAGAGCAGATCTCCTTGAAGAGAGAGACTCTAGATAGACTGACTAAACCCTGGTGAATGAACTTGCATTGAGGGACATCTGGGGACAATAACTTTACATGATAGGCCTTAACACAAATGACAGAATGTATGAACTCCAGTGGGGGATGGGGGTTATGAGAGGGTGTCAAAGGGGAAGGGGAAGGGGGCATAAAGATGATTTTATGTATGAACACAAAAGTTCAATTAATTATTTTTAAAAAGGAGTGGTATTTACCTGCTGAACAAGCTGGAAGGAAAATTGTTTTGAAGGGAAAAGAAAACACTGTTAGTTTATACAGGCAGTGGCGTCTACTCCATGTATTTCAATATAAAATACTCTTGCTCTTTACAGAGTCTTACTGTCACCCAAGCCAACCATGAACTTGCAGTTCTCCTGCTTCCACCTCAAGGTGCTAGGATTTGGGCTATGCAGCACCACACCTAGTTCAGAAAAACCCTCTCTTCTGAGAAATTCAAGTGGCCTTCTAGACTGCTCCCTGAGCATGGCAGGTGCCCATACCATTTCCCCAGCCTCCATTCTACATTTTTCTCTATAGTAATAGGAACCCCAATTTTTTAACAGGGCCTATGGCTGCCTTGAACAAAGACCTCACTTTCCAGTGGGATAGCTGGCTTACTGTGTTCTAGATAACAGAACAAGAAAATGGTAAAATTATAATAATAATAATAATAATAATACATTTAAAAATAGAAAATTTTAAACTTAAAAATAA